TTTTTTCCGAGGATGCGTTGATATATCACTCTAGATGTAAATTAATGTTGTGAGGTGTAAATTGAACTCCGCTTGTGATGCTTGCGGTGACTTACTGATGTTATAGTCTTTATTGTGTTAGCACGGGCATTGAAATTGAAAATTATAATAACGAGTATTAAAAGTAAAGCCCTTGTTTGTCCCATATTTTAATGAGATTTTGGAAATAATGTATTTTGGATAGTGATTTCTGGGAGAATGTGTGGTTAAAAAAGAAAGAAAAGTTTTTGGTTTACGTGTAATATTATTTTATTAGAAAATGTATGGTTGAAAAGAGGAGGGAAAAATGTATTAAAATTTTAATGGTGGCCAAACAAGGGATAAGTTTAATTATCTGTTAGCTACATTTTGCTGTAATGTTTGGGAAAAATGGAAATTGATTACAGCTTTTGAGATTTCACATGGATAGCCAGATTAGGCATTATGATCTAGAGTCCGGCCTAGTCAACCCACCTAGTTGCCATTTTTCTGGAGACGACACATTCTTAACGACTTGCTTTCTTGATGACGGGTTTTGATATATCGTCATTGACAAGACATGGAGGTTTTGTCGATGATAGTCTGAGTGGATGATGCGAAGCATTTTTGTTATGAATTAATCTGCATATAGATCGGCAGCTGAGTGGGATGTATAATGTCACTAATTTGAAAATACACTAAGAAGAACTTGTCACTTTTTTTTGTCTTCTTTTTTAATCTTGCAAAAATGTTATTTTTTTGAGTGCAAAAAGTCTAATTTGTCATTTTCATTACTCTTTTGAACACATTTACCATAGGTAGATTATATAAAAAAAAAGACTTGATGTATGACTTGTTAGAGAAGTTAACAATGAATTCAAGTTATTATAGGTAAGATTATATTAAAAAGGAAAAAAATATTTTACTAACATTTTCTTGACATGAAAAAATGAAGGTTTTTCTCAAAGAATCTAAGTGTGCATTTGATTACCAATATTTTCCATGGAAAATGTGTTTTTCCTTCCAAATCCTATTTTTTGCGCTGTTTGATTGACATTTTTTTCATGGAAAATATTTTCCTACTTTTGATCAAGTGATCATATCTTTTTCAAAATCAAAGAAAATATGTTCTTTAGGGGGAGTAGGATTTTATTTTTCAGGGAATTCATTCTCTTTTTCTTTTATCTACTCACCAATAAAAATTGGACAAGTATAATATTTTTTAAGTTGAAAACTAAATCAATCAAACACATTTAATTAATAATTTCCATACAAATAAGTTTTAGGCAATTGAATTGTCTAGAATTTATTTTTTTTCATATAAATTCTATGCTTGCAATCAAACGCGTCATAAGTTATTTTTTTCCTACAAGGATTGAAATATCAAAGTTGAAATCGTAGTTGGTTTATCTTCCAATTTGATGTTAATTTAGAATTTAGTAGCTTTAACTTACAAATACTAAGAAAGCAGTACTTTCCAAATTATTCTTCGTTCATTAATTTTGATTAAATTGAAAAAATACATCTATTTGAAAGCATGAAAAAGTTGAAAGATTCTCTATATAATATAGAATTGTGTAAGTAATTAGTTAAGAGTTGTTCATATGGTAGTTGTGTATTGATCAACGTACTTTATGCTTCAAAAAGAATGTTTTCACATCATATACCATTTATCCGATCTTGACATTTCATAACTGTTTGAATAGACATTTTAAATGTGTATTTAACCAGTTTGAATTGTCCGATAGAATTCAAAAGTGCATTATGCATGCATTTAAACCGTAATACATTAAATTTGTGCAGTATGCTTATCATTTTATTTTGTCTACGCTCAGGTATGACTGAATATTTGAAATTCGTCATGTCAAATGAGGGACCATTTGTGTACGTAGAAGACAAATAAAAGTGGTGAAAAAATACTATCACTTTAATTGTAGTTTCAAAATAATATAGGGAGATAAAATTGGATGATCCAAATCCACCATATGATCTGATAGAGATTATGTATGATGTGGAACGTAAACTGACGTGAGAGTCAGTTATAGTAAAGCACATAGTGACAATTAAGTTTTCAAAAATTGTCGTCATATTGTCACGTTCTTGGAGAGAATGAGTTAGGTACAATGACACATTTAAAACGATTCCCGTAACAAGTTTCATTATTTTCTCTTGCATTTGATGCAAGTATATATGGCTTTGTGCAATATTTGATGTAGATTATTTGTGTCGGTGGGAGTCATTTGAAAGGTACATACAAATGAACTAGCTTTTAGAATAGAATCGGCCTCAAATATTGCGCAACAGAAGCATGAAAGTTGAACGAAATTATTAGATGTAAGGTATGTTTGGAAGTCTACTTATATTCATCTTAGTATTCATATGTCTTTCTAGTTCGTTAAATGAAGTGAACTGATATTTTGAGAAGATGAAATTTATATTTTC